TTCCATAAATACGTTATTCTATTAAAATAAGTTGCCCTAAAATGTTCTGTTCTGCATTTAGGGGTTTTCAATTTCCCCTGGGCAGTTGATCGTAATCTTGTGTCTGAGCAGAATTCAACGTAGGAGTCAACATTACAGTTATATAAACCTTGTTTCATCCTGTAAAAGGTGGTTAAATCCTTCAACTCTCGACGGTGTAAAAGAGGAGGAACATCAAACTGTTGGAGACGTTCCACATATTCCAATTCAGGCAACAAGATCCATGTTGCTCGGCGTTGAAGGTGAAATCAGAAATTTAAATCCGGCCGGATGCCGGAAAATTTGTTAAATCCGGCCAGATTTGAAATCCGGTGCACCCCTACCAGTAACCATGTCATGGACTGAAATGGGATGCACTAAATCCTTAGTTTTTGAAGTAAAGAAGCAGATCTGACTATGAGGATTATTACAAGGTGGTGCATTAAAATTTTAAATTGTGGCTGGCAAGGGCCAGGGTTCTCAGGGCCACCGAGAGGGCCCCAACTTGAGAGAGAGCCTAAAATTGAGTAGGTTCTTTAAATTGGTCAGAGCATTTTTGAAATCGAGGGCCCCTTACAGTAACCTGTAGCTCCACATGCAGTCTAGCTGAGGTCCATGCAGTTCAGGGTGACTGACTTGGTCTAGCTTAAAAATAATGATGTCATGGGGCCCCCAGAGAAGATTTACCCTGGGCCCCGCAAATTGTCTTGGTGGCCCTGGCCAAGTTGGCAGAACTGGCAAGGTGGCAGAGTGATATCTGGTATCTGCTGACAGTGGAGAAGGTGGTAACTGATGGGCCACAACAAAGCTTTTCAAGAGATTGGACACAAGGTTTGCTGTCAGTGAAGTGCATGTCTGAAACTTGCAGTCTTGCACTGATGATGTAAGGAGCATTTTGTGCTCATTGGCACAAAAAATGGGCATTCCTAAAGCAGGTATAGAGATGTAGATGCATAGGATCGACCTTGGCTTCTTTGCTGGTATTTAATTCACCTTTTTAGAACAAAGAGTCTTAAGGGCTTGGGATATCTAGGGCGTAATTGAAGTAACCATACAACTACAGAGTTCTGTAGCATACATTTGTTCGAGGAGTCGTGGGAGGCCATGCAAGTAAAGACAACAAAATTTTTCAATTAGGGATGGGTCAAAGCTCTTTGTTGACTTCTGGGCTGCACAGTGATGCAATTTTTACCTTTTTTTCTTTTAACGATTTGTCATATCTATAGCTTAGTTTTTGAAATATTTTCTCTTTTTTTCATAAATTTTTAATCTCGTTAACGGTAGTTTTGGTGACGTCACAATAGGGATTAATCATATAAAATGTTTGTTGCTGACCAAATATTGATTTGAAGGTTTTGAGTGATCTTGATATTTAGGGCAGACAGAGTATAGTTTTGAGTACAAAATGATTAGTGTTTGTCTAGATAAAAATATTGCGTGACTCCTGTTGTGACGTGACATGCATATCTACAAAAATTGAAGATGGTATTGGTGGAGATTTCATTCCTTTTGATCAAAATATTTGTAGAAGCAAACAAGATACGGTAAAAGACGGTAAAAGAGTATTATATATAGTCTTAAAAGTTCTTTCAATTGAGAAAATAAAAAATATATTGCCATTTCCCTTTAAGTCCTTACACCTCTAGTTAGTAATCAGGGGGAAATTAAACTGTTATCAATATCAATGGGCCACAACAGTCTCTCATCACCTGCTACATCCCGTACCCATTTTGAAAAAGGTACATGCATGCATGCATGTATGCATGTCCATATATAGATGAAATTATCAGAATATGTCATTGCTGATATATCATCTAGAGACTAGAGGTTAGTTTTTTCCCTTTTACATTGAGAAACATGTACAATGTGATAAAAATTACTTAATGTGATAAAAATTACGTGTCCGTAACTACTTAGCGAGTTCTCCGTGAGACTAGATTTCTAAAGTACCTGTAAATAAGAGAATTTCCAACGTTTCCACAAGTGATATTGGGAATTTCAGAAGGGTAATGGAAAGTGCAGATTTCTCCCTTTTTGTTTGTGGTCTGGCCTGTTCTTGATTTTAAAATAATTATAAATGCAATGAAAGAATATTTGGAATATTCATTGTTTTACAACTTTTACGGACCATAGATTACCATTTAGTTCCTCCTAGTTCTTATACCTTAACAATCAATGTTAGATAGAAGAATTTTCAAACAAAAACGTCTGGAACAGATGATGGCAGTTGAGAATATTATAAAAATGAATGACTACGAAAAGCAGTACAGAATTATTAATATGATTTTTGAAAAGTTATTTAAGGTAAAGACTAAAATATAAGACTGGTTCATGTGTCGTGTTGCAAGCCTAGTTCTCATTCATCGCAAACCGTCGGCGATGGGAGCTTTGCGACGTCGGCGACCGCCTGCGATTTATGAGAACGCATCAAAAATTATATCGCAGATTGTCCGTGATCGTCGCTGACCATCGGCGATGACATCGCAGGAAACAAAAAAGTTTGTTTCTTGCGACTATCGCCGATCATCACCGACTGCCACCTGCTTGAAAAATCTATGAGAAATGAGTAAAAGTTGTTTTTTCCTCAACAAGCAAGGAAATAATCAACTGCATAAAACAAAATACGTACACCCGAGTATAACCTCACATTTGACTCTATGAGTACCTCTCACTGGCTTAATACGCATTTGATTGGTTAAACGGGTAGATTAAATGCATCTGATTGACACAGAGGTGGAAACTAATTACAATATTGGCTACTAAGTATTATTATCAATAAAAATCTAACAGACAGTACAAGATGCGAAGAATGAAATTACAACAAGTGGTTATATTCCTGGTGAAGAATTTCCAGCTGAACAGAAACAAAAAGAAGGTTGGTGTACTTTACTGAAGCTTGTCGTAGACTCGTAGTCCTGCGAGCAGGCTAACTTTGCCCGAAATGACTAACTTTTACGGAATTTTGAAAGTGTTTTAATTATTCATATTAAATAAAGTATAGTGCTTCATAGAGATTTCGAGCACTGATAAAAACTGATCATCTCACATGTGAGATTGTTTATGATAATTTGACATGTGAAAATTATCGCTTTTCTGTAAAAATTATCGCTTTTCAAAGACTGTCCTTTATATAATAAACAGAAAAATACATTCTTCGGCATAACCATTCAACTTGGATGGTTATGCCGTTGACGCTCGAAATAAATCTGGTATTTCCGCGCACCCATGTATTGTTCTTTTTTAAATACGATATCTGCGAATAGAAGGAATACATTGGTATTTGTTTTCTTCGACCAAATGTGTACCACACTACGTACTAATATGCATTTCAAATCATGCATTTCTTGTTTGTTTCAAGTATAAATGCCTATATAATGCCATATAATAAACTTTTTATTAACCTCGCTTGCTCGGTATGTACAGAGAAATATCGGACTTCGGTCTTTTTTTACAAACCTCGCCCTACGGGCTCGGTCTGTACAAAAAAGACCTCGGTCCGATATTTCTTTGTACAGACCCATCCTCGTTCCCAGGGCTTCTCGGCTGCCTGCGGTACAGACCTCGCGTTCGCTTGGTAATAAAAAACCCCAAAGACGTCCTATTTATAATTGCTCGATTTGATTTTATTTTACAAGTTTGCCATTGCAATAGATCTATAGAGTACTATGGTTACAAATGACTGGAATTTCCACACACAGATAGTTCTCCAATAACGGAGTTCTAAACTAACAACTTATGGTATATCTAATTATTTTAAAAATTTGGGCAAACATAACAATTAAACACAAATACAAGAAGACAAAGCAAACGTATTAACGTGGGTTAATTCTACGTAATATTTCATTAGATTAAATTTAAATGTAGTTAGAGATGTGGTGTTTCTTATGAAGCAGAGAAGCGTTTTCCACACATTAGCAGCTCTGCCTCTGATGTAAAAGCTGTTTTGAAAAGAAACAGTTTTACTTTTGGTTACATTCAGTAGGATGTTGTTGGTTGAACTAGTATTCCTTGTTTCTCGTGTAGGGATCTTTATAGATATGTTACTGTCAGAGTTATTTATAAGGCATTTGTAAAGATACACCATATCCAAATACTCATGCCAGTAACATAGAGGGAGGATTCTGATGGTGGCCAATCGTTTCTTATACGAGATAGATGTTTTGTACGGGAGCGAAAGAATACATTTTCATGCACGTCGCTGCAACCGTTCGATCGTTAAGATGTTGTTCACATTAATTTCTCTAAGAATTCCCACAGGAGGTCACACAATTTCATAAAGTCGTAAACCATGACACGCCCTTACTTCGTCATTATGGCATGCAGATCATTTCCCTTTTGTTGGACTCTATAGAATAGACTCTATAGAATAGATTCTATAGAGTATAGGATAGATTTTTTTCAAATAGGCGTTGTACCTATATATATATATATATAGGCGTTTACATATAGGCGTTGGCCGCAGGTATATAATTTCGCCGTAACATTACATTCTTAGGGCCGAGACAAACCAGACGCGATTCAACGCGGCTCGATTTTCACTGACCGATAACTTTGATCCTGGTTTTTCAAATATTTAGAAGCGCTATAAGATTTTGAGTTATTTGGTTTATATCTTTTAAAATTTCCTTTCATTGGCTGTTTCATTAAATAAATTCACTTTCAAAAACTGGAAAATCGCACTTGCATTGTTGAATCGCATCCGGTGTGTCGTCTCGGCCTTTACCTATTATGCTTTTCTTTCAGCCATTGGACATATTGTCGAGAACACTGCACTTCTAGGTGATGTTGTCTTGCGACTGCCAGATATTGCGCACAAGGTATAAAAGAATATGAACTGGTGAACAAAAAGTTGTAGCACACTACAATCCTGGACGAAACATATGCAACACTTCCAATTATATTTTTAAATTAACTCCCTCCTTACCGCTACTCCTATCATTCAATGTTGATTGCATTCCCAGAATACGAATAAAGCAATTGTAATATGTCCAACATGGTTTGGGGTGGGTAGGGGGACCAGATCCTGGGCGGGGGTCAAAAGAGAAGAGTGTCACAGATGGTTTTGACTAGGATTGTAGTTTATGGCGACCTCCTCTACAGCAGATCTCGTCAGATCAATTTACAATGGAATTAGGTTTGCCAATAACCATTATCAAGTATATATATTAAAATTAGACTTTCTCTGATAGATATTTAGCAAAAATAAAGAGTGGGAGCTACTAACTTTGTGGAGCTTAAGTTTTACAAATAGTACAACTATTTATGATGAAGTGGATAGTAAGCTGTTAAACCTGGTAAGTAAGATTTTACTATTACTGTATGTTCTGTTTTCATTTGTCCATAATAATGCTTTGTTGTCACTTTGAACTTTGAGCATAGTTAACTATGCTTTGAGTGACTATTGACTATTACCATAGGCGTACGGGAGGGTGGGGCTGGGGGGCTGCAGCCCCCCCCCCAATTTTTTGAGAATTTATCTATATTCGGGCAAGAATTGTCTTTCATTCGGGCAACGACGGTCTGGTGGTTAGACGAATATATTGATCCATAAAGCGGAACAGAAGTATTATTTCAACAAAGTTCAACTTTTACAGGTTCAATCATGCACTGTAAATCTGTAATGACAACGTTTGTGTATATTTATTACTACCATAGACTGCATAGCTGGATTCAAGCATGTTGCGTCAGGTTAACCTTTATTAAAGGTCAAGTGCTCTAAAATCGGATTTGGTTTTGATTTTTGCGCACATACCACAGACGTAAATCCCCACAGAAACGGCTAGAACGAAGGAACAATTGCTATGGCTACTAATAAAATGTCACTACTGTATTCATGCCTATATTCAGCAGTTTTACCTAGCATAATGTAGGCTATACAACTATTAAAC